GTCGCGGCGGCCTCCGCCCGATGCTGGCGGAGCTGCCTGGGCTGCGGGCGGCCTTGTGAGCGCTGCTGCCGGGCCGCGGCCGCCATGTCCGGCGTGGTGCGCACCCTGAGCCGCTGCCTGCTGCCGGCCGAGGCGGCGGGGCGCGGCGAGCAGGGCCGCCGCGAGGGCAAGGAGCGGAGCCGCGACGCGGAGCGCGAGGCGCGGCGCCGCAGCCGCGACATCGACGCGATGCTGGCCCGCGAGCGGCGCGCCGTGCGCCGACTCGTCAAGATCCTGCTGCTGGGCGCCGGCGAGAGCGGCAAGTCCACCTTCCTCAAGCAGATGCGCATCATCCACGGCCGCGAGTTCGACCAGAAGGCGCTGCTCGAGTTCCGCGCCACCATCTACGAGAACATCCTCAAGGTGAGGGCCCCGCCGCCGCCCCGGCCGCTCGCGGGCTCGCTCGGCCCGCGGAGGCGGCGCAGGTGCCGCGGGGGGCGGGCGGCCTCTTCCCCCCACCCCGCGGCCCCGTCCGCGGCTCCTGGGGCGGGGGTGAAGGGGCTCCCGGCCCCCCCGGCGCCTCTGCGCTGCCCCCGAGCGCGGCCCGCAGCCCCCTGCGAGGGGGCTCGGGGAACAGCCGGGGGCAAGGCCGGGGGAGGGAGGATATAGGTGTGGCCTGCGCGCTCGCAGGAAAGAGCGAGCCTCGGAGCATCCTCCGGGGCCGGCCGGGAGGAACGGCCGCGCTGGACGGGGTTTCCGCGGTTCTGCAAAACGGCGTGAGGAGCACCTTGCCTCTGTGTGGTTTTTCATCCCAGCAAATAGCTATTGCTCGCTAAATCTTTGCAGTCTATTAGGATAGCAGCCCAAGTGTGGGGTGCTCTGAGGAGCAGCTTTGAGGCTCCAGGAACTTTGCTTTGGTACCTTTGCGGGAAAGTTTTGCTCATGCAGGTGCTGCAGTGCGGGCCCTGTTGTGGTCTTGTGGAGGCTGGAGGACGTAGGAGCTGCTGGTAAAGTCTACAGGTAGAGCCTCTGTCTGCAGGCAGCCAAGCACAATCAGCTGTGACAAATGTATTTTCCTGTTGGGAAACGAGTTTTCATGCCCAGCGCAGTTAGAAGTGATGGTATCTCAGAAAATCCATGAGGATGCATGAAAAGCTACTTAAAATAGGTCTCTCCAGCTTCATAATACCTCTCTGAAAGAGCTGCTGCAGACATTTTTGTTGGTGGTGGTTTTTGTTTTTGTTTCTCCTGCCTATATCATTCAGTAGGACTGTGTATGGACATGGATTTGTGAGCTGATGGGAGATTTCATAGAAGACTAAAGGAGACTGTGCAGGTCAAGGGTAGCTAAAGTTACTTGTGAGTTTTTAGATTTCTTCTGAATAGAAGCTTTATGTGTGTTTAGTAAGGGCACATACGTAAAAAGATGGTCTTTGTTTTTAAGAATTCTATTGTTCTGCCAAGAGCTTTTGCTTCTGTTAGAACAGGAAAACTGTTGCCTAGTTTGCCCTCCTGTTCTTAGTCCATTTTCAGGAGCACTGCAAAAGATGAAGCACCACTGGTTAGAGTGAAAAGAAAGGGAAGAAAAACTCTGTGACTGCAGGTTTCTTAAGGGGTGGGGAATCTGAAAGCACAAAAAAATGTAGTGTATTAGGGGCCATTTACTGCAAGAATGTTGAAAACTTCGCTTTCAGGAAGACAACTATCACCATCTTGTAGCAGGGGAGACAGGTATGCGCTTGGTGCGCTGGCCTGCTGGCTGACTTTGGGCAAAGCTGCAGAACCTAGGCTAAAAAACAGGTTTTCAAGACAGCAGCCTGGAGTTTCAGTTTCAAGACCAGTACTTACAGTGTTGTTTTTGGCCGTGGTCAGCTGAGCATGTTTTCAAGCATCGTAGTCATCAAACTTGAACAACAAACGTCCAACAGCGAACATTACATTTGGTGGCCATAACTCCCTTTAAAATGGCCACACAGATCAATGCTTGGGAGCTGTTATGTCAGGTTCTCCTTCTAGGTATGTGAGCAGAACCTGTCAGGCTTTTCTTTTTGCTGTTGATCTTGGATGGAGGAGCTACCCAATTTATCCTTCATCTGTAGGATTTGTGGAGTGGCGTGGGAACGGTCATTATGGAAGGAGTGTGCAGAAATGGGAAAGCAAATGAAGGAAACAGAGTCTCCTGTTGGGAAGGAGGTCCAAGGCTCGAGTGTAGGGTGAAGACAGGACACCTTCTTTTGCCCATCTGAAGGAAATGTGGTAACACCTCAGAATTTATCAGGGAGAAATCAAGCAAGACAGATTTTGAAAAGCTGTGATATTGTTAGTGCCTGTAGTTTATGTAATTGTGTGACCTAGCATTTGCTTTTGTTAAAAAAAAACTTACAGAAAAATATTAATTTTGCTGTTTTTACAGCATAACTGCTGATTGATTCTGATGGCTGCTCTTTCTGTAATAATGTATTTAGAATATGGACTGGTTTTGGTTTATCAGAAAGTTCAGACTGAAGTGACCATGCATTAACACTGAATGAAACAGATCACTTGAACATTGTATGTGCTATGTCTTAATCAGATATATAACTTACAAGAAAGGTTGGAAGATGAGTTTTATAATCCAATATGTGACCAGCATCAAATAAAAATGATCATATACAGTGTATATAAATCAGTATGGCCTCGGGAAGCACAGCTGCCAGCACCCTGAGCCCCGTTAGCCATACAGTTCTCAGCACTGTCAAATAACTCTTCTGTTAAGTCTCTCCAATGCTGAGATCTGGGCTAGAAATGCAGTGTAAATCTCTGGGATTAAACGGTCAATTTTCATTTTCCCACCATGACTAAACTGCTATTCTCTCAGCAGTACTTGGGATTTCTGAAGTGCTCTTGCAGTGGTACTTGGACAGGCAGTATTGAAACCAAGTGAACTGCTTCAGAGAAGACAACTTGAAACCTTTTTGGAAATGTGTATGTATTATCATTGTGTCAGCTTTCTTGTTTTGAATTTGCAGCTTTGTACGTTTTTGATAGCTTGTTCATGTTGAGTTCTTTTCTTGCCCCTTTTTTCTTCCCTTTCTCACCCCCTTCTTTGGGAAACCTTAGTGAGAAAAAACAAACTGCAAAAACTAAGTAAATCTGTGATCCAGAATTTACTTTTCCATTTAGTACAGGTGATGGTTCAGGGCCTTGCTAGCTTTTTCTGGCATTTGCGGAGCAGTCTTCAAATACATTAGTTTTCCTTTGGTTCAAGGTAAATAGTCATCGGCTAACTAGGGTTTTGCTTCTTAATCGGAGCTAAGTTTCAAAGTAACTCCTTAGAACTTTTTGATGGTTGGAGTGAAAAGCAGTAGTGTTAATGTCCTGGTATGAGCACACAGCCCGTGGCTGTAGCACACCCACCTGGGAACGGAAAGCGGATGGGACACCGTGGATTGATGATGGCTCTTGGTTATATAGAGAACTGGGAGAACATCTACCTCCCTGAAGTTTCAAATCCAAGAAATGGCAAATGTTATTACTGCTGGGAGGTACCAAAACGCCCATGTAGTTCTTGGGAGTAGTTCTCATCCCGTCCAAAACTGATGGGGAGGGACTGCTACTGTATTTGCTGCCTTTGATAACTGTTGAAGAGCTTAGGGACTTAATGAATCACAGCCCTGATTCCTTTCCTAAATTGTTTTGGTTGTTTTAAGTATGAGAATATCATGCTGCTTGGGG